CCCACCACCCCCTCCTCCTCCTCCTCTCCCCAGCCAGTCTGCGCCTTCTGCAGGCTCAGCAGCCACCATGTTTGTCAAGTACAGCACAATCACCAGGCTGCAAAATGCAGCACAGCATTCAGGGCCCCTATTTAAACCCCCACCACCTCCAGTGATTCAGCCTCTGACTTTGGCTTCACAGTCAGTCAAGCCTCAGATCGTGGTGCCCCCCAATGGAGTTGTTCCACCACCCCCTCCTCCTCCTCCACCCCCAACCCCTGGTTCAGCTATGGCCCAATTAAAGCCAGCACCCTGTGCCCCATCCTTGCCACAGTTCAGCCCCCCACCTCCTCCACTGAAAATTCATCAGGTTCAGCATGTCCCTCAGGTGGCTCCTCCCACACCCCCACCAGCTCCTCCCACCCCTGCTGCCCTTCCTCCTCAAGCACCCCCTAAACCTCTTGTGACCATCCCTCCTCCAGCCTGTACCAAGACTGTGCCACCAGTTGCAGCACAAACTGCACCACCACCTGCCCCTGCTCCTCCTGTGCCCCCAGCAAAAAAACAGCCAGCTTTCCCCATTTCTCATGTGCCACCCTCTCCTTCTGTCCCTCCTGCCCCATGTCCCCCACCTACACTACCCAAGCAACAGAGCTTCGGGGTGAAGCCGCCCCCCTCTCCTCTGTCCCCTGTGCCCTCAGTCGTGAAGCAGATGGCTAGTCAGTTTCCACCTCCTCCCACTCCTCCCCCTGTGGACTCTCAGCCCCTAAAACCCCTCCCAGCAAATGTCACCCCACAGTCCCCTCCTGCTGTGAAAGCAAAACCCAAGTGGCAGCCCAGTTCAATCCCTGTTCCTTCTCCAGATTTCCCTCCTCCCCCTCCCGAAAGCAGCCTGGTGTTTCCTCCACCACCTCCTCCAGCCCCAGTCCCAGTCCCATCACCAGTGCCACCCATGACTTCACCTACCCCTGACAAAGGTGGATCTCCAGGCAAAAAGCCAAGTAAGATGTCCAGCCCCGGGGGGAAGAAACCACCCCCGACCCCCCAGCGCAACTCCAGCATTAAGTCCAGCAGTTGTGCAGAGCTCCCCGAGCCCAAGCGACCCTCAGTAGACAGTCTAGTCAGCAAGTTTGCACCGCAGGTAGAATCAGGGTCTCCCAGCAAGGAGATCCCACCACCTCCTGCAGCGCCCCCCAAACCTGGGAAACTGCACCTTTCTGGAGTCAACCTCCCTGGGATCCATCAACAAGGCAGTGTGTCAGCAAAAACCTCTGTTCTGAGTGGGCGTGCAAAGGACTCCATGGTGGAATTTCCATCTCCTCCATCTGATTATGAATTTCCACCTCCTCCACCTGAAATAGAGCTTCCTCTGCCCCCAATCGAGATTCCAGCAGTATTCTCCGGAAACACCTCTCCGAAAGTGGCAGTTGTTAACCCTCAGCCACAGCTGTGGTCTAAACCATCAGTGAAGAAGGCCCCTCCACCTACCCGGCCCAAACGCAACGACAGCACCCGCCTCACCCAAGCTGACGTCTCTGAGCAGCCAGCGCCAACCTCAGCAGTGCCACAAGTGCCCACCTCTCCCAAATCCAGCCTTAGCGTCCAGCCTGGGTTCCTGGCTGACCTCAACAGGACACTGCAGCGCAAGTCCATCACCCGGCATGGCTCACTCTCCTCCTCCCGCATGTCCAGAGCAGAACCCACAGCCACCATGGATGACATGGCATTGCCCCCGCCACCCCCAGAACTGCTATCTGATCAACAGAAGGCTGGTTTTGGAGGCGGTCATATTTCAGGCTATGCAACATTGCGGAGAGGACCCCCTCCCGCTCCCCCCAAAAGAGACCAGAATACTAAGCTCTCAAGAGACTGGTAGCCACAACTTTCATGATAACCATAATCAGTTCTACAATCAGCTTATCTGATCATCTGTGAATTCAGGTGTTCAGAGCCTCCTGGTGTGTTATTCAGGTAGTGTCCAGCTATATGTGTGTGTACCTCAGCATGTACACACAGCTCTACAGATTGTGTGTATATACATATGTATACATCTGTGAATGTGTATATATAGAGAGAATTGTTCCTATTTATTCCTTTCCTCTCCTAATCAGAAAGTGGGGTTTTGTGTGTTTGGGGTGGAAGAGACATGGGAGGGGATGTGTTCTGTCTCACAATTTGTCTCTTGTGTGGATTGGACCAAAAACTTCTTTAGAAAGTATTTCATATGTGTCTGTCCATGTGCTGCCTACTTGTGCATGTGATATAGAAATAAGAAATAGATGTACAACAAACATCTCAGTTTGAGACTGTCACCAGAATGTTTGGTATATCTGTAGGGCTTTTGCGTTTGCTTTCCCCCCAACTGGCTGAAGTTAGAACTGCCTGACATTTCAGTACTATATGTAAAGGGGCACTTTAAATCAGGAAAATCGTCATTTCATAGAACGGGTAAATACTGCAGGAAAGAAGAATTCTCAGACACTGTCCATGGTTGTGTCTAGTAAGTCCTTGGTGTAACCAAGCTGTTCTAGATGTAGTACTCCTGCAGAGATCCCACCCACTTCTAAGCTGTTCTGTCACAGGTAAGCTTTTTGCCTACAACACATGGAACAATTCATACTATAACCCTGGGTATTTTGAGTACTGTCTTATGTATGAAGCTTCATCATCTTGGCTTCAGAATTCTTGCTTTATTATGAGAATGCCCTAGACAGTATCACTGTAATGCACTATGATGTCTCTGGGTCAGAGTTACCTTATATAGTGTGTGCTTTAGGTAGATGTTGGTATCTGTGCAGTCAGTATATGGAATATATGTCCTGTGCCCAATGTGGTGCATCATTAGAAAAAGTCACCTTCTGCAATGTATCTATTTTATGCATTGTTCTCTAGAAGGGAAGATAAGGAAAAAGAACAAAACTGGACCCCATCCAGGTATCATTCATCAGGCTGTAATGGAAAGAATGAGGTATGAGTTAGCACAGAAGAAAAGAGCTTTTTTCATAATTTTATCCATAGCTGCTGCAGCTGCTTACGGCCTTTGCTGTTTACAGCTTGGTTGCAGAGATTTATCCAGTGACCAGGTGTTCTGATGGAGTAGTGTCACAGTCTGATTATAGTACGTGGCATTCATAGCTCGTGCAGTTTGGCATAACATGGGGTCATTGCTCTAATTCCATACGCTTGTGTTACTTTTCCTTGGTACACAAGAAAAATATGTACTTACCAACTCATGTTGACTTAGGAATAAAATACAATCTTAGAACTGCTTTTAAGTAAGAGAATAAAAACTGGCCATCCCACCAACTACAGAGGAACACATCTTGTAAAGAAAGTCTGTGCCTGTTGTAAAGATGACCAGTGCCAAGTGCAGAGATCTTTTGGTCCTGCCCCACAAGGAAAAAGTGACTAATGAAGCAGGGCCAAAACGGCAGAGTTGGAGAATATAGTCAAGTTGCACCATGTGCCAGGTTTAACCCACTCCATAAAAGAACTGCATTACAGAGAGAGTCAAGTCATGCCTCCACAGTGCCACATCTCCAGGGTGCAAAATCACCATGTGGTTAGAGAAGTAAGAGGACTCCATTGTGCTTTTTTTTTTTTTAACGCCTACTTCTCTAAAGCTATTTTTGCATCTTTCAAACTGCTCACCAAGTTGTATGTGCTTGCTATTCTCAGCTTATGAAGTGACCTTTAATATGTCTACATTATTAAGCATGCACAGCAAATGTGGGTAACCTTGAGTACAGATTGCCAAGCTCCACTGGACTCAAGTAATTTCCCATGCTCTTCAGCTAACTGCTATAGACTCATTCTAAAGACTACCCATGTTTGTAAAGACTTACTGAGAGTATGGATCCTATATCCCAAATACTTATCTCTAGGATTGGTTTTTTGTTTGTTAGTCTTTTAATTAAGCCAGGTAGATGTTCAGATTTCCTTAAGTGGGGAAAAAAATGTACCTCTAATCCTAATGGAGCCCATGATTTGTGCCCTAAACCAACAGCCCTTGTTTTTTCAGTGTGGACTCTGGGGGAATTTTTATGTCTACCCTGAACCACAGCTTCTAGTTTATTTTCCTGAAGGAGCAGATACCTTTGAACACTAGTAATGCCAAGAAAATGAGGGAAGTCATAACTCTCATTTCTGACCCCAGTCCAGTGGCTTGTGTGACACCATATGTTTCTTTACATTTCTCCAAAGAGAGAAATAGCTGCTAATGGGGAGGAAAGGTTATTGAACAATAAAATTAAAAGACCCCAAAGTGCCAGATTCTTTTTCAGTCAGTGTGTTGTTTTTGTTGAGATGTAGTTTTGTTTCTTTTCTAATAATTCTGGAGCTCTTCTCTGTGTATTCATGGAAAACACCTACTGCCCGATGACACTAGAATTATGTCTTCTTCGCTGCCTACACATCTTCAGGCCAGTGAAGGCACCCGGACAGCTGCCCTGACCACACTGACTGGTGAAAAGGAAGGAGCCCTTCTGCTCCTGCAGGCATGGCAGGCAGATGCCTGTCAGGGCTAGTGACTTGATTTTCAACCCTTAATGTTTACTGTAGGTAATTTCAACAGTGCCTAAAGTTTGGGTACTGACTCCAAAGGGCAACAGAATCTATTCTGTTAATAAAGAACTTACTTCAGGTTCACAAGTAGTAGTATGAATACAATTCTGCATAAACTATCACCACCAGCTTAGTTTTTTTACTCCCAAAAGACTTAAATATACTTTTTCTTAGCTACTGTAATTCTCATTTGGAAGGAAAAATTGTTAAGGGTTTTTTTGTTGTTGTCTTATAGACATCCAGTTGACAGTAAGCTAGATTTTTTATTCAATTTCTGGAAGTTCTTAAAATGAGAAAGATGGCTGGATCTTAAAAAAGATTTCATTAAGAGTCTGCTAAGATCAAGGTGCTCCTGCCCACTGATGGCATATCTTGCAAAGGGCTGAGAACTATTTTGGGTCCTCTCTGTGTATATGTTTACTTTGTTGCTATAAATAATACTGAGTTTGTCAAGAGAAATCTATTTGAGAGGTCATAATAATTCCAATAGAGAAATAATTCAGAGATCAAGGTGAAGAGGAATCGAGTTTCAGAAGCTGTTATTCTAGCAGAAAACTACTAATAAAGTTGTGTCAAGATGTAAGGTTTAAATTTGCCCGTAAAATTATCTAGGGTGATAGTGTGGTGGGTCTGATTTATCAGGCCTCCAGCAGACCTTTTTGTTGTTTTTGTTCTGCAACTAAAACCATTTTATGTTAAAAACACAAGGCAGTGTTTAAGTTTAAAAAAAAATCCTATTTTTATGTATTATTGCCAAACTTTATCATTTATCTTCAGAACTAGCATTATAACCGATGTAATCCCAGATTTGATTCCAGTTTAGACCAGTTAAACCAACAGCCCTATGAGAAGTGTGATGGCTTGCTTTCAGTAAAACAGGTGTAATTATTTTTGTTTATACACTTGAGGGTGGCTCTTCTAAAAGAAACCAAAATCCCTTTTAGATTGCAAATACCTTTTGGCACTTTTGAAAAATTCAATTTTACATTATCTGCACAAAGCATGGTATTCCTAACCGTATGTGAGTTCTCTCAAAGCTGAGATTTGAGAAAGGGAAATGCAAGAACAGAACTGAATGTTCCATCATCTTTTAGTATGTTTCTTTTAAAATCTAGATAAAGCATTGTTGCACTTTTAACACTCTAACCCTCAAAAATTAAAAAGCAGGCTGGAGTGAGAACCCTGGTTGGGTTCCCAGCACCCACATGGCAGCTAACAATAGTCTGTAACTCCAGTTCTATAGAATCAGATGTCTTCTGGCCTCCTTGGGCATTGCACAGCATGGGTGCACTTACACATGCAGGCAAAACTCATACACATAAAATTAAAAATAAATAATAGAAGTAAAAACAAAAAGTGTTCAGTTCCTTTTGTACCCATAGGAGGTCTATAAGTAAAAGAAATCTGCCAGGCATGGTGGCGCACATCTTTAATCCCAACACTCAGGAGGCAGGTGGATCTCTGTGAGATCTCAGCAAGCCAGGGTTACAGGGAGACTTTGTCTCAAAAATTACTCACCTAAAGAGAAAATAAGTTGCTCAATGAAACAAAAGATACTTGTTAGATATACAAAGTGAGTGGAACCTTCTAATTGGTTTGCTCTTGTTGAAGTAATAAACCATTTAGAAAATAATTTGCTACAATCGCCAGTGCCTTGAACTCTTTGGAGAAACAGCATTTAAAACAAAGCAAACAAACACCAAGCAAACTTTGAGGTGCTAATGAAAGAGAAGGAAGCTGAGTATTTTTCTAGTTTGGGCAGAATGGAAAAAATGACTTGCAAGAGAGTTTTCAGCTACCTAAATGGAATCTGGCTGTTTTCTACCAAAGATGTGTTTAGAGAAGTGACTTGAGTCAGTGCTGAGTCCCTAAGAGACAGCATGTGAAATATGTTATCAGGAGTAGCTGTGAATTCCAAGTGTGTGATTTGAAAGCCTCACCTTCTTAGGCAGTCAGACACAGCTCCAGCACTTAGAAAGGGAAGGGGAGTTCAGTTTGGAAACTATCCATTCACTAAATTTATTACAACTTACTACCAAAAACTGCCATCCTTCATGACTCCACCTCTGGGTTTTTCTGTATTTGTAAATAATCCCTCCTAGGAAATAAGCATTAACTGGAATGTTTCAAATGATTTTGCTTAATTTTAATATCAACCACTAGTGAACTCTTCTTTCAGAGATGTATAAGGTAAAAACACCATTAGCGTGTGCTAAGTGTTGTAAAAATGTTTACTGTTTTGAAGGAAAATTGCACATTATCTTTAAAACTGGGATTGTTCTCCTTTTCCCATTTCTTTAAAAAAAAAAGTCAAGGCTCATACTTCTGGCTGTGGGAATTTTGTCATAGATATAATGTAGAAATATACTTTTTTTAAAGCATGAAGATGACAAAAAGAAAGCATTTTAAGGTCCCGGGCAGAGGACTATGCAAACAGCTTGGTAAAGATTACTTACGGTTTTATTTCAGCTTTGTTACTATTTTCTTCTGCATAAATGTACACTCATTTCATTATGTGCCTTGCTCCAATTGTGCAAAGCTATCTATCTATATCTATATCTATATACAAATATATATGAAAGAGATATATTCATTCAGTACTACTGACGATGTTTCTGTTCTACTGCTGGATTAAGTTATTTTCTAAGTTGCTCTTGGCAGTTGTCGGTAAACTCTGTAATGGCTTAGGACAGTAGTCATACAACCAGTGTGAATTTGTTTTTCCAGTTACATGTTTTCTGTCAGCTTGCCTGATACTTAATAATAAAAGAAAACAAAATATATAGATTCCACTTAAACACAGGGATTTTGAGTGTTTGGATTGGCATCCTTAATAACCTAGTTTTGTGGGTTTAGAGATGGCCCAGTAGTTAAGAGCATTTGCTGATCAGAAATTAATTCCCACCACCCACATAGGAGAGAACCAACTCCTGCAAGTTCTTTGTGTGCATATGCACACATATGACACACACAATGTTTAAAAAATGAATTAAGTGATAATAGCTTTTTATAGTTTTTGTTTTTTATTTGTTTATATGTGTGAGCCTGCCTAAGTATCTGTGCATCGTGGGTATACAGTATCTGTGAGGCCAGAAGAGGGCATCAGGACCCTAGATCTGGAGTTATAAGCAGTTGTGAGTCACAATGTGGCTGCTGGGAATCAAGCCCAGTCCTCTGCAAGAGCAGTAAGTGCTCTTAACCACTGAGTCCTCTAGCCCCATTTTTTAATTGAATTTTTGAAAATTCTGTACATCTTGGTCAATCATATTTAGAATCCTGCCCCTATCTGCACTCTCCGTACCCTCCCCCTCCAGATCTCATGCATCATATATGTTAAGGCCTGTCAGTTGTGTTCCCAAATGTCCCCCCATGTGAGTCCATCCATCTGTCATCACACCCTTAAAGAAAACCAACTCTCCCTCTCCCCATAGTCATTGGTTACCAGTAGTTCCTCAGCTAAGGTTGAGGCTTCTTACCCATTTCCCCATTTCTATGCTGGGTTTTCGTCTGGCTTGAGCTTGCACATGCCTTGTGCATGTGTCACCACTGCTGTAAGTTCATATAAGTAACGTCATAGTCACCTGGCCAAGTGTTTTCCTGTGGTCACCGCCTGACTCTTACAGTCTATCCACCCCTCTTCTACCATGGTCCCTGAGCTGACCCCTGGGTGGCAGAGGTATTCTACCCTCTATTTTTTTTTTTCTTTAAATACAACCAGGTACAAACTAAACCAGAAAAGATGCTTTTTGTTTCAGTGATTAGGAGGTTCAATTATATGTTGGGGACTGCCATATCAACATGGATTATAAATGTCATGTGCTTAAAAATCTACCGTTTATCAAATAATTTTTCTTAAAACAGCTCTCCAGGGTTGGAGAGATGGCTCAGCGGTTAAGAACACTAGTTGTTCTTGCAGAACACCCGGGTTCAAGTCCCAGCACACACATGGTGGCTGGCGACTGTAAGTACAGTTCCAGGGGATCTGACAGCCTCTTCTGTCCTCCATGGGCATTGCACGACACAGGTGCACTTACATACATGCAGGCAATACACGCATACACATAAAAATAATAAAACATTTTTAAAAAGCTGTCCCCCTCCATTTACCATGTGTCAATGATACCAACTGTGGGCACTTTGTCTCTGGCTTTGGAGGAAGCCATGTACAAGAGGACAGGGTCACAGGACCATGGAACAAATGGCACCCTCACTAATCCCCAGAGCATGTCAACCAAATGTGAGAGTCCATAATAGCCCCAAAGGAGTCAAGTGCTAGGGTAATTAACAAAAGGCTGGGTTCTAAACATCATTTGAGACAAGAATACTCTAATGCCTTATAGTTACTCTTCACTTTTCTTGAAAACATTTCTTAAAAATATAACTGTGTTACTTGACTGCTCCAGTTTTCCACATTACTTGACCTCCAATGGAGGCACCGAGGAAGATGAGCCTAACAGCAGGAAGAACCAAGTTCTGCTCTTGAATGTCTTGGAGAAAAACTGGCCATGTGCTCAGACACATCTCTAGGAAGCTTCTGTAGACAATTATCATCTGGGATCTTAACCACATAAGTTGTGTGTTTGTGATTGTAGTCAACCCTCATATTCCAGTGTTTGAACAGAATTTAGATGTATTTGGAAAAAATAGTTCATAATTAAAATGAACAGCTGTCTTTAAAATACTTCATAGGATCACACTGAAGGTTCAACACTAAATAGGGGTCTAAGATCTTGGTAATAAAAAGCAGCTCCTTAGTTGAAAGCAACAGCAAAATAAAAAGTCCTCAGCACTTAAACAACCACAGTTAACCATCTTAGGAAGAAAAAGAGGTTAAATAGATAATAATTTCACAAGACACTTGAATATATTTTGTGTGATTTTTATTTAGGTCAAGTTCTTAGTACACAGCAATAATTAATTCCAAATACAATTTAAAAATTAAGTGACTGTTCCCTCACTAATCTGGAAGTGGTTTAATGGCACTCACAGAAAATGTCACTGGCAATAGCTGCCACTCCACTTGCCTATATGGTTTTTACTTGGTACCACCAACTGTGGGCACTATAAAGTATACACTGGCCAGGTCACAAATTGTTTACATTATTTTTTTTGTAAATCATTTTGTTAAGAAAAAAGGTACATGGACATAAAATATGATAAAAACTGCTTTCCCATAGAATTCTGAAGTTGCAAAAGAGGTTTCAGTTTAATGTGAAAATAAGCTTTTTGTTGGGGTTTTTTTTGTTGTTGTTTTTTTTTGTTTTTTTTTACAAAAACCTTTAACATATTTAGCAAGGATCATTTATACAGCTAGGCCCTGTCACTTCATTTATAATTTTTTTTAAATAGAGATTCTCAAAACAAAAAATTGTAAACTTAAAGACAGCTCAGTGCCTCCATTTAGTAACTTTATAAGGCTCTCCTAATAAGGCTGTTTATTGTGCTGGACTCCTGCCAGTTTTGAACTAACAATTCATTTCTGCTACACATACCTTATGGAAAACAGTGTGATGAGTGTAGTTTTAGAAAGGGTAAAGGGAAATTATTTTCATTAATGAAGGCTGCACTTAACATCTCTTTTAAATTATCTGAGTACTTGGATGGTTGTATATCAAAACGGTTTTAGAAAGGGTAAAGGGAAATTATTTTCATTAATGAAGGCTGCACTTAACATCTCTTTTAAATTATCTGAGTACTTGGATGGTTGTTTATCAAAACGGCAGATCTTTTCAAGTATATTCCTGCAAACAAGAACTCTTAATTTGTAAAGAATATAGCACATTTAAGACAGTTGCGGTGCAATGGAAAGTACTGTGCTGAGCATTGAGTCAAGAACTCTTCTTTCTTAACTCACTGTTCATCTAAAGCAAAGCACTAACCTCACTGTTAAAATGAGACTGAACCAAAAATTTTAAAAGCTTATCTAGTTACAATAGTCTATGATTTTCAAAATAGTGTTAGAGAAACTGTCCCCTTCACACCAACCAGGAGTTCCTGGCCAAAGCTATTTAAAACTAAATGGATCCCCATTCATTTAAAGATTTGACAGTCAACCTACCATTTCTTCCACCAAAACCCTTTTCGGAAGTAAAGGGAGCCTTCAAGACATGCCATGTTCTCTCCATGAGGAGAAAACATAATAAAAGACAAAACAAGAGTTCTTACTGTAGAAAGGTGACCGCTAAAAGAAAATGAAAACTGAAAGGTCAAGCAAACTATGCCATTTTGATGCCTCCCAAATCAGACTCTTTAATCAACGTTAAATCTGCTAAAGAGTACAACTACATTATAGACAGCACTCTAGCTGGTAATAAACAGCAGAGGGAGGGAGGGAGGGATGAAAATATGACCCAGTGACTTTTTAGGAACATGGCAAAATCAGCAGTCCTGTACCAACCCAACATGGAGACAGCAGGTGCCTCTGAGGAAGACAGAAGTAACCAAAAGGAAAATACTGAAGGAGACATCTTAAAAGATTTGTATTTATTCCAAACACAGCAGGCTGAAATCTCTCAGGTCTAGATTTTGAAACATTGGCACTAATTTTGTTTCCAATTTGTCTTGGCTACAAGGTTGAACAAAGAATGTATATTTTCATTCACATCCATGGACCTTCAAATATTAATAGCAAAAAAAGATAAATGTTCAGTCATTCATCTTTTCTTTTTTAAAGGAAAAAAGGATTGCCCACATAGACATTTCAGGAGTGCCCTCATTAGATTCCCTCTATCCTGATAAAAATGGTTGCTTACTAGTCAGCACATTTTAAACATGGTTTTCTGAATTCATTTGAAATTTCTAATAATCTTTTAGCTTATGGGAAAATAAATTGGCGAAACTTACAATAAAGCAGGAAATAACCTCACAGAGTATTAATAGCATGCAATCTACAGAATATTACATACATTAAAAGTCTCCAATTACTGTAGGCCTGGCTTGTTATTACATAGTATTCTTCCAAGTCAATTTATAGAATTCAAAAAGTGTTCTCTTTTTTTAAAAAAAAATCACATTAATACTAAAGAATACAGAAAAAAAATCTACTGGCCCATAGACTCCCCCATTGCAGGTCTTCAACCCAAAGGACTCCCCAATGTCTTCTGCACACCCCATTCAGCAGGGTCCAGCAGACAAGCTGCACTCCTGGTACCCACCAGCAGCTCTGTTTCCGCAAGTAACAAGGCTAGCTAGCTGCTGGATTTCAAAACACCTTTTGTCTTAGCCCACTAAGCTTTTTCAATAACTGGAGCAAGTATTTTCAAAACTTTCCCATGTACCAATACAAGAAAAGTTTAACATATATATATATATA